AGCTGAATCCTTGGGTTCCTTTAAATCAGAGCTAGATAAGATTTTAACAACTCTGAGCTATTAGTTAAGTTCTCCTCCCCAAGTGAGCTTGATGGGCTGAATGGCCTCCTCTCGTTTGTATAGTTCTTATGTTCTTATGAATAGAATGGATTCGTAATGTAAATGTATGCAAGCGGATGCTAATTCCCCTCGCATTTGATGTCACTGTATATGCTGAGGGTCCCAGCAGGCTGGTGGTGGTCAGCTTACCCTGTACATGGGGTCCCTAGGGACCCCTGCTGATTAGCTTGAATTATTAATGCTGAAGGGCTCAGAGGTCCTGATGGCTAATTTGTGCTGTATATGTCAATGGGGCCTGATGATCATCTTTTGTTATATATGCAAAGGGGCTGGGTGGTTAACTCACATTATGTATGAGAATCATAGTGTTTAATGTTGGGACTCATGGCCACTAGTGCTCAGAGCCCCCATAGCACCATCTCCACTGCCCCGATCCATAATCCGGCCATGGGCAAACAGGTGCTACTTCTTCCATGTAGATTGAATTTAACCTTCCTCATTTTTAGAGGATTTGTGGAGGATTAATAGATGATGTGTGTCCTTGTCTGCTTTTCTAATTAATTGAGTTCCTGCAGCAAGAGATCAAGGAAGTGCAGTCACCTATAACCAATAGTTTTTTAGTTTAAATCCTAAAAACAGCTATACTGGGACAACCAGTGAACAACACTGCCTCTTCGAAAAACATGCATTGGTATAAATTAGTATCATTTTAAGCCAGTCCTTAAAGATATTTTAAGATGCACAATAATATAGTGCAAATGGTTATTTCCTCTAAAAAAAAGATAAACCATAGGGCCTCTGCTTAGGTATCCTGAAATTTCCTGTAACCTTCAATGGAATCCTTGCCTTCTTTATCCCTGTGGGTTCCATATGACCTATTTAGATCCTGAGGGGTGACCATGGTTATTCCCAAATACTAAATGGATTTTGCGTAGAGCAGAGGTTCAGTAGCATAAATAGGCTGTCAGATGATATGCTAAGTGTCAGAAACTATTAGAAGTTATGAGGTAACACAGTTAAAACGATAAGATAAGATAAGATTATCCTTTATTAATCCCACAAGTGGGAAATTTGCATTGTCACGGCAGAAAGTGGACAAAATAAGCATAGGGCATTAAATAAAACATTTTACGGAAGTCAGAATAAGGTTTTACATTTCTATAGTGCAGCTTAGAAGCTGAATGGGTGCACACCTGCCCTATGAGAATATGGGCTAAAACATGTTGCAGAAATTCTAGTAGCTTCACTAAAAAGCCTTGCTGGCTTTGGCTTGTGAGAATTATAGTCGAGTCACGCCACTGGATGCTACTGCTGGAGTCCCTACAGCTTTTAAGTTCAAGCCCTTTACGATATTTCAGTGCCTGATTTTTATATGTGAACATTTCACATGTGGGTGGCTCAGTGGGTTGCACTCCGTGTGGAGTCTGCATGTTCTCCTTGGATTGGGTGTGTGTCCACAAAGTGCTCAGGCTTCCTTTTTCAGTCCAAAGACATGCAGTTAGGTTAAATAGCATCTCTAATTTGCCCATAAGGTATGATTACGTGTGTATGTGCTCCATGATGGATTTGCATCCTCTCCAGGTTGCATCCCTACCTTGTGCCACAAGTCCCCACAGCGGATGGTGTATACAGTAGGCAAAAAACATGGGAACATCTCTCCCCAGCATCAAGGACATTTTCCACAAAAGTGTCACCCACAAAGCCTCCAGCATTGCGCAGGACCCCTCCCACACTTCCCCTGGACTCTTTGTCCTGCCCCCATCTGGAGGAGCATCCAAGCCAATTCTGCCAGGTTCAGCAACAGCTTCTTCCCGGAGGCTGTCAGGACACTCAACACCCAGGTGTCCCCTCCTAAGAATATACACACCTCCCCAGCACTGGCACTGCTCACTTTACCTTATTGTTATTCAACTGACACTATTTATTCAGCCATTTATGCTGCAACATTATTTATTATGTTTACACACAACTTTCAATGCACTATGTATAATTATAGACCCTTGTGCCCAACATCCCTGTTTCACAGCGTATTGTGTTTTTGGACATTTGGAAGTTTTGTGAGACCCTGCCCTTTTTACGTGCAGTCCTCGGGGACATCACTTCATGCCACTATATACATGTACTGTATGTGGATGGTATGACTATAAAGCCCACTTGACTTTGCCCTGTGCTGCTTGGAATACGCTATAGCGCCCCTCACCACCACCTCCAGGCAACCGCGACCAGGATAAATGGTTAAATTGTCCAGTAGATGGCAATATTGTAACAAATATAAAAGAAACTGGCACAAATCTACCGGACGCTAGACCAGAATGGTTTATTTATGACACTGTAAGATCTGTTTAAAAACGACCTATAAAAATGTGTTGGTCTTTTAAAATAGCTTCCAATTGTTTTTTCTTGCGTATTTTTTTTTATTAACGCGACAATAATAATAATAATAATAATAATAATAATAATAATAATACCTACCAATGCTGCATTGACGTGTTTGTGTAGTCCGCTATCTGTTTCAGTATTACTGCGAATAAAGCGACATTGCGTTGACGCACACGTTTCCTATCTAATTACAGTGGGAAGGAGAGACATGCAGCAGTGTTACGAGGACTACTTGGCCATGATGCGCTGCCCTCCACAAAAGATTTTTTTTTTCCAAGTCACATGTGAACAATATTCTTAATTTGCCTGCAGCGTCCGCAGAATAAGTCCCAACGATTTTATAAGCATAAGGTTTGTGACTAAAGTCTAACCCGTAAAAAACATTTAATATAATGTCCATACCAGTAAGATTATAATCAGAATCCGATATTCCTAAAGATGTGTTTGAAAGAAAAAATACAAATAAGGATTAGAAATATATAAATACCTGAAAATCGATTACATAAGTCAAAATTTTAACTCCAGCAACAAACGTGCCTTTTTCGTAATACATAATGACATTATATAATTTAAAATTAATATCCGGCACTGTGTTTTATTATTGTGTAATTTATCTTTATTTTATGTGATATTTCAGATTTATCGTGCTGTATTATAAAATGAAGAATGCATCGAATCGACAGTCTATCATTTGCATTGTACGACGCCGCAGGGATTAATGTTATGATTGTGTTCGTTAATTTTGTTTTGACTTCAATGCATAACTTGTTTAACGTTAATCGTGCTGATGTAAAACTGGATATTGAATTTAAAGTTACTGTAATGTTATAACTTAACGATCTGTGCCTTTGTGTGTTTAATTGATGAGATACTGGTGGTCACGTGCGCTGCACGATAACACTCAGCAACAAGGACCACGTGGCACCGGAGATCCCGCATAAACCGTCAAAATACACAAAATATTATTCTATGATACTAAATAATATATAATAATTTATAATAATGAATAATATTATGTTTATTATATTCTAAGATAGGGATGTAACAATTACGTAAATCGGATTTGTTTTTGGGTATTGAAAGGATACTCATCAAGGATATAGGACAAATTGCGGTGTATGACATTTAACTCCTTATGTATCTTAAAAAGATACACCAATCGGATCGAAACTTAAAGCGACAAAGTATAATATAAAACGCATATTTTCTGTCCTTGAGGCATACCACGCTATTAACCAGGAGATGTGAACAGAAACATATTTCTTGTATCCGATAATCCCTAAAGCTAGCGTTCACACCTCGAGTCTGTAACAATGTAGAATTAGTGCTACGTCCAGGTACATTTTATTTATTTCGATAGACCTATGTAATATACAGTGCTGATAAACTTCTATGTTATTGTTTAGAAAGAAGCCTCGGTTGCGCGCCTGTTTACTTCGACCACGTGCCTACATAATGCGCGTTCATAAATGCAGTAGCTGGAGAACTGGCACGTGTCTCCCGCGGTAGCGCGCTTTACCAAAACAAGCCCCAGGTCTTTGTCTGATTCGCAGAGCGTTAACAATTGGCTGTCGACGGTAACGAGGGTTGGGATTCCTTGCAATTTATTGGTTCATAAGGAATCTGGCTGGTTGTAATTGGTCGACAGGAGAGGGCTTTAGGATGTGCTTGCCCCACCGTGAGTAGTTCGAATATAACGACTTTTTTCAGATAGCAACAAAACAAAAGACACGGACGTCATAGCTGTTTTAATCCAAAGGAGCCAGAGTTGCTTATTATTAAGTATATTTACCGTAGGAGACGTTTTTTAAACTGGCATACAGCACACCTCGATGGATCATGTTTGTTATTGAAGAAAGCGCACAAGAAAGGTTTTTTTTAAAAATTCATTACACGTTTTCTTTGGGAAATCATAACTGAAGAGATCTAATTGGGGGAGAAAATAAACAGTTTTGTCAGATTTGCATTGCGTATGTTTGGCTTTTAGGTAATCCCTCTTGGTTTGGTAAATTCCACTCCGCGTATTTTATGTTTGCATTTGATGTGTGCTTTATTCTATTTAATAACTACGTGGGGATCAGAACCAATTGGAGAAGACTGATGAATGGCAAAATAGACGGAGTTTTGCGTGGAAAAACCGCGGTGGTAACGTGTCGCTTTCGGAACGCTGAAGAGTGATCCTATTCAGGAACAATCGCGGTGAATGAGCGGTTGGAGGAACATGCAATACAATAAAAGACAGTGAAGAACTGTCGCCATCGCACTGGGAACGTGGCACCACATGCGCGACTTGTGAATGAAAAGGAAAGCCGCAGCGGAGAAAAGGCATTCTCCGTATCCGTCGGGAAGGGGAATTTGTGTTTTTGTAAGTATTTAGACCTCCCTGGGAGCGGTGTATTATACAGTCATGTATCGTATAGCAGTCAAGTATTTTAGACAAGTAGTGAATCGTTTTATTATATCAATATGTCAAATGTAGTATTTGCTCTTGAGAAGCAGGCATGTAACTGACATCTTCCTCTTGGTATTTGCGGAAAGGTCACATTGATCTGTACTGGTGACCCTTTATTTTGCAGTAACAAAGCCATAACTTTAAACTCATTAAATCGTTCTTATCACGAATGAGAGGATTCAGTTAGATGATTTGCCTAGCTTAAAAGAGACACGGTGGTCCATAAATGTGGTGAACAACTGGGTCAGAAAAGCAGGGAGACGCAGGATGCAAACGCATGACATCACCAGTGCTTCTGCTCGACGCACAGTTAATTTGAATGTTGTTTGTTAGCATTTCAGTAACTGTATTATTCGGTGTTCCGATGTCCTGTTCAATAAACGACTCTTGGGGGTATAAAGCGATGTGTATGTTGGTGATCGTCATTATTAGTGAAACATTAACAGGCATTTTTTACGGCTGTGTTTGCACATGTACCATTTTGTCTATGGAAGATGTTATCGAATGAAAACTGGATTATTTTTGGTCATTTCAGAAATAACACGGTGGGCCAGTATGAGAGACGTAATGTCATTGCGATAATGCAAGCATGTGTAATATATAATACATATATGTATTAAAGAAATTCAAATATGTAATGATAGGATGACTATATCATCACTGTTTGTGACAGTTGTAGCCTTGTGTTGAGGAAATACCGCGTAATAATGGGTAGGTTGTGTTTGATTAGTCATAATTTTATTTTTAATTCTTGATATCTGAATTATATGAAGCATATTGCCGAAATATGACCATTATTTTATTTTCCGTGTTGAGCTGTTGGAATATATATGTACATTAATTATTCTGAATTGTTTGGTTTGCACACGTTATATCACGCTTTCGTCCTGTATTTATTTACACATCCGGGAGCGTATTAGGCTGCACAATTATTCCGCCTTGTCTCCTCCCGCAGTGGCCGTCGTTGCTGTCAATCACATTGATTCCCGCCCACTGCGTGACGTCGCCACCACAAAGCCGCCAGGCTAGTCTATCTTCGACACAAAGGCAACAACAAAGACGAAAGAAATGTGCGAAAGATCGCACAGTCAAGCTTGGGAGATAGCTTCAGTACAAGCGGGGTTGCATAATTTTAGCCTATAACAACAGGCGATAAAATAAGGATTGCCGTTTTTTGTGGAATAGGGCATTTTTTCTTTAGTACACCAAAATATATTGTGTCAAAAAGCTGGTTTCAGAAGAGAGCCGTTTCAGGTGGTGAGTGTTTGTCTAATGCACTATTCTTAGTAAGTTAGCTATTGTTTATAGCAGGCAGGCTACGTGTTGATCTCCTGTAGGAAAAACGAACCGCGCTGTTGGCCTTGACAACATTAGGCACACTAAACGCAGCTTAATAAACGCTTTGCGTCTTGTCTGACGTTATATAGAGACTACTGACATAGAGAAAGGGATTCAGAGGAAATACTCACAATAAACAAATGAGAAAGAGAGGCAGTCTCCTAAAAAGTCTCGGAGGCTCATATATTCGTACCTAAACACTGACATTTGGGCTTCCCCTTTGTAAGCCTCGTAGCTTTTCTAGAGTAAACGTACCTTTAAAATAGATTATTCGTGCATTTTTTTCAGTATTTACAGAAGCTTGGTGATTCAGAAGCAAATGTTTATTATCGTACAGTGGGTTATACGGAACAGGTTCGTCTTCCTGTTTTTGCGTTGGACTTGCATGCTCTGAATATCTTTCCTTCTGTTAAACCCTGGATTGTGCTCCAAACCTACTGACATCTGTGCTACCAGCAGTAAACCATTTTTCCATAGACATAAAAAGTGGGACTGCAAAGTGAACGTTGCACTTTTATTTTTCTGTGCTCATAAGCCTGCTTTTCTGATTTTAATAGAACGTTTTTTTTTTAATAATTAATCAATATATATATATACACATACACACACACACACACACTTCTTAGTAAGAATACATAAACAGCACATCCTAAAAATCTTAATGCAAAATATTTAGGTGGAAGCAATGCATTATATGAGAATCATACAAGTATGTTATAGTTTCTCTATAATTTAGACCATTCCTAGACTTTGGATATTATTGTGGTGTTTGTGGGACAAGTTGCAGGTAAAAACAGTGTGTTTTGTGAAATGTTTTTCTTAGAAAAGTTTAAAAACATTAGCCTGGTGAGCCTTAGAAGGACAATGACGTAAGATTAACAACTTCCCTTTTACAAGAATGATAAAAATATTAAACAAAGGTTAAACAAGACTATTACGATCATGCCATTGTATTCTTCTCAGTATAAGCAAAAGTTTATTTGAAATGGGAATCAGATTTTTGCTGTAACTGTCATTTTTAAAAGTGTGTAAGATGAGCAATATCTAGACTCTGATGCCTTGGGGAAATAATATATCATAGGGGTTGCACTTGGCTTTTGTTTTTGTGAACTTGATCCTCCACAATTAATGCCTCCTGCAGTTTGATAGTATTTGATAAGAAAAAGAGAGAAGTTGGTCATGTTTGCTTTTAAGTGACAGAATGCAGAGTATTGGAACATGGCTGTGTCAGGTGCAGAAAAAATTAAGCTTGCCAGTTTTGAACTTTGCACTCTTTTCTGAGTCTTTCTGGCTGTGGTGCGAAAGCCATAAGCAGTATGCCATGCGTTGGAAAGCAGCAGAACGTGTCTCGGAGTGCTGCTTGCTGTGCCCTCACCACACAGCTGTGTAGGAAGGGAGATGTGCTAATGCTAAGGCAGACTGGCTGTCACACTCTGTCACTGCCCCCTCCTCTTCCTGTCTGTTTGCGGAAGCCTCCTTGCACTTTGCATGAGCTCGACTGCTGTGCGCTCACCTTCCTGTTATGGCCTCATGACACAGTTGTGCTTGTTTCTGTTTTTTTTTTTTCTGTGGGGGTGCTGTAGAGCCTCAACCTTGGTGTGTGTGTGTTAGTGTGTGTTTGTGTGTGTGTGTGTGTGTATTGGTGTGCAAATGTGGACAGTGATTTCTAGTAGATCTGAGCTATATTTTTAAAGGTTACCTTTGTGTTTTTACAGAAACATTTACCCTGCATTTTCATTCTTATGGTTCAGTTTCAGCTTCATATCCTGGGCCATTACAGAAGGCAGTGAAACTGAGTTTCGTTAATTATTATAGAAAAACTTGGTTTTGTAGCACTGTTGTTTAAAATGCCTATTGATTAAAATTCCAGTAAAATTACTTGTGCTTCCTTAAAGAAATGCCTAAGAATGTTATGTAGCCTGTTGCCAGATACTGTCTAGTTGAATAAGAATGCTGTAGTATAAGTTTTTTTTATATGTATTCTACATTTTCAAGACGAGGGAAGTAATTTGTTACTATTCAGTGCATAACCTGTTGTAGTTTGTGCTAAATTTCACTGTATTTTCGTAATCTAAATAAACACAGAATACTTTTATTGCTACCGTTAAACATTTTGTTGTGGTAGATGAAAATGCATGTTTAAAAACAACTTATGATAATCACATTTTATAGTGATCTGTCTATGCTGCTCTTCTTTTAACTCATGACATGATGTATATCTTGCCCAGTTTCTCAATATGTTGAAACAACCTCCATTGAATTGTGCTTCTTTGTTGTCTTCCAGGTGTCCATTTCTCCTGTGGTGTCTGTGTGGAACGAGCCACACACCCACTCCAGAACAACGACGGCTTTTGCTTGCATCTTTCAGTGTTTCTTCTGTCAACAAGTTCAGCAGAGTTGCAGCTCGTCCAGCCCCAGCCCGGAGCCTCCTGAGCAGCAGGTCGACAGGGAGATGGTGAAGATGACCAAGTCCAAGACCTTCCAGGCCTACCTGCCCAGCTGCCATCGCACCTATAGCTGCATCCATTGTCGAGCCCATCTGGCCAATCACGATGAACTCATCTCCAAGGTCAGCCATCGGCCTGCATCTCCTGGGGTCACGCTGGATATAAATCTGTAGTACTACCTTTTTGAATATGAATCTGTCAGAACTACGCAGTCTTGTATGAAGATGACAAATAAAAACTTTTGTATGGAAAATTCTATACTTAGCTTATATGTGTGAGTTTAGAAGTGTCATGAAATACACCATGATGTGTAGAATATATACATGATATGTTGTCGCTGTTGTTTGGGGGTGGGCATGGAATACTGGTTAAAATTAGAAGGTTTTTCTTGATAAAATGTGGCCTAGTTTTTGAGTGTCTGTTGAATACATTTAGTTAATGCTTTTATTCCAAAAATATACACTTTTAGGCATTTCTGTAGGTGATATTTTATGGTACTATAGTGGTTAAATACTCTGGACTGGAAAACCACGGAAGGGCCTGGTGAGATGTGTTGTTTTGCTTTGTGGACATTTCGCCCAGCGAGTAGGGAAGGACTTCTAGGGGCCAGCTGCAGCTGCAGGCCTACCCACGTGTGACATCATCTCTGCAGAGCAGCTATTGGTTAGTGGCAATCCCTCATCATGGGTGGCAACTGTGACATTATTTTTGCTTCATAAATTGGGCTCCTGGGCCTTTTTCTAGAGGGTGTTGCCTGGCATGAACTCAAAGCAGGCATTTAGTAAACCCCTTTTTCCCCCCTTGCCGTGGGTGAACTCAGTGACTCGGTACATGGTGTACGTGTCGTACTCCTACCCAGGTAAACAGATTATGCCAAGATGATCTGTCCATCAAAGCCATTGTCAGAATCAATGAGCAAGCCACTTAGAATGATTCCCATTCTTGCCAGTTGAGTAGTCACAGATGTTTAGGCAAAAAATGCATCATTGGGGCAGCGTGTGGCTCAATGGGCTAAGCCTGTGTGCCTGTAATCACAATGAGGGACAACTGGTCACCGGTTCAAACCCAGCCTCAGCATGTCTGCGGGTCCTTGAGCAAGGCCCTTAACCCTCAGCTCCCTGGGCGCTGCTACAGGTGGCTGCCCTTCGCAGGCAATTTACTCTACAATGAGCAAGTTGAGGGAGGCGTAAAGACGATTTCCTCACGGGGATCAATAAAGTATCAATTATTATTATTCACCACTTTTTGTCTCTTGAGTTGTAAATTTTTAAATGTATTTTGCAAGTAACCATGGATTAAGTTTATAATTGTAGCATTATTTACAACAGCTCCATGGAAAGTGAATAAATAGTTTTTGTGGCCTGGAATGTGTGGTTAGCCTAGGGGTTAATACTTATATTGCTGCTTGGTGCCTGTGTGGGTGCACTGCTTCCTTGAATGCGTCATCTGCGTACGTGATGGAGGGATGTTCTGGTACCACTTTGCTTCTGTAATTGTGGGACTTCATTTGCCCATGAAGCCTGCACCCCTGCTGGCTCCTGTTGGTGTGGATAAGATGTGAGCTTCCTTCGATCTTCTCAGAGAGCCGACATGGGCCTTCTAGGGCTTCTCCATGCTGTCTAAGATTATGGTATTAGCAGAAATGAGGAACAACTGGTTTATTCATGGCTCTGTGTAGCCCTGTTGCTTCACATGTCCAGGATTGGGAGTTCATATCCCGCCTTTGCTCTGTGGGTGTTGAAATTGCATCTGGGTACTTCTGATTCTTCTCATGGTCCAAACACATACATTTAGGGTAATTAGTAGCTATTTGTGCATTTCTGTGTCATGTCTAGTCTTGTACCTTTTGTTTCTTTGAATAGACGGCCCCCCCCCATAACCCTGAACAGAAGGTGAATGGATAGTTATTGCCCAATGTGACCTTATGACAGCTGGAGAATAATCAAAACATATATGTCCCACCTGCTTATCCTGCACAGGGCCAGGAATAATCAAGCATCTCCCCAGTAATGTTCTACAAATGTAGTGGTTCATGATCCAGAGAACTACCTTGTCAGTCAACAACTGACAGCAGAAGAGCCTGAAATGGGATCTGCACCCCCCATTCCCCTAGTTTCACTGCTTCTGTGTGATATCCATCACAGAACGTGGCGCACGGTTTTCCCAAAGGCATGTTTTTGATGAGCTAGAGCAGCTAGAATTTTACTCCTTCCCAGAATTGCATGAATATAAACTACTCCTAATATTTTCATGTCTGTATGCTTGGTGGCCCCATAGATATGGGTGGCTCAGTTAAAGTTAGTCTGCTAACAGGTAGCCAGCTACCTGGTACATGAAAGCACTCCATCCACCCCTGATCTGGGCAACCCCTCCGAAGAGGGCTTTCACAGGCAAACTACACTCATAACTATAATCTATTAATTTTGGAGGCATAAAACTGTTTTTGCCTGAGTTCATCATAACATTTTTATCTGTACTAATGTGTTGGTAATTATATGTACCAGTTATCTTTTTATTATTCTGTTATTGTAGAAGTTTAAAACTGGCCAATGAAGAGATCATTCAGCTAGGAATTATAGAGAAACAAGAGAACAGGACATGACTATGAGCATTATGCGATACTGAGGAGTTTGTTATGCTGTAAAGAAGCCAGCACAGATATCCCAGGATGCAATTGTTTTGAGTCCTGACCATTATGCTGTTTGCATATTAACAGAAGAGTGCAGGTTTTGGAAAAATAAAACAAAATTATGAGGTTGAACGTGCCTGAAAGGTTTAAAGATTAGAAATTAGCGCTGTTTATTTTGCTATCACTTTCCTGGATAAGCACATGAACGAGAAGTATAAAAAAAAAATATATGCTTCAATTTTTCTTTCCTTTTGGAGTGACCCTTCTTGCACCCCTCCCCTGAAAACAATCTGCACCAGCCACTGAGAACAGACCCTTCTTGAAAGACAAGTGAAAATTCAGCTCAATGTGAAATTAGTTAGAACACAGACTATACAAAAGGTCATAGTTCATACTCCCAGTTACATTGTGTTCATCAGTCTTGTAATACTTTTTGTTTTTATTTATGAGAATTCTATAATCTATGTGTTGTGCATAAATAGTAAGCTGATTCCATTATTTGGTATCATTGTTTTCATTGATAAACTTGTCAGATAAAATTGAGCTTGTTTCTAGGTTGCAGTGCCCAGGGCGTCTTTTGTTTGGATGTATCTCCATCCAAACTGACCTTTATGTAAAAAAATAAAATAACAAGCTTTGCATGTCAGAGTGACTTAAATTTATGAATTTGTGTAACACCTTATATTGCATCCTGGAAATCCAGTGGCATCTATTTTAGTGATTCAGGACGTTGCTTTCAAAATCTAATTTAGTCCAGGAGTACAATGAGATGATTGATATCAGGCACCAAACAAATGGGCAGTAGGATCCTTACATCCTTCAACCAGTTTTAATATTAGAAAGTGTAGTTTGCAAAGTATTCCCAGGTAAGTGCAGGATTACTGTGGTGTGTCTGTAGATATGTTAAACAAACCTTATTGATGTTTCTGTAAAAGAAAACAAATATGGCTGACATAGTAGCAACCAGCTAACGTAGCATGTAGCTTGACTGGAAGCTTGCTGGCAGGCCTGGGGCACCCGTGCTGTATCCTTGAACAAAATACTTTAATCTTAATACTACCAATGAAACTCACAGTTTTATAAATGGCTGAAATTATAACTGATACTCTAACTCTGAATAATTAGTTTGCTAAAAACAAAATAATATGTAAACCAAATGTATGCATAATAAATTATTTAACAAATTACTTGGTCAGCTGTCAAGCAGCCCCGTTTGTTGCTTTCTGTGGCTGTGCTTTTGAAGAGCTCCATATATATGGTTATGGTTATGGCTAGGCTGGGGGCAGTATCCCTGCTGCCGTAGTGAGGCCCCACTGGAGGGAAAACCCCTAGTACTCAGCAGGGCCTCTAGGGGCTCTGTGGAGCACACTATCCACTTTAAGTTGATTATGTCACTGGAAAAATGCTGCGCAAAACCTGGTGTTTTCCACAGAGTCCCACCAACGCTTTGTCTGCTTTGGATTATTACAACGTTAATGAGATTGAATGCTAAATTGAGGCTGCCCAATGCTTGGTGATGGGTGAGGATGGCACTAGGGGAGTTGCTGTTAGGTGTGATGGTTAGGAAGTAGCATCACAGTGAAGGTGTGAAGTGTGTTGTTTGCACATTAGACACAGCTGGGACTGGCGTGTGAATTGTAATGCAGAGTGGTTAAACTTTTTTTAATTAGAAAATGAGAATGAACTCTAATTTTTGTGATTTGTGACTAGGGAATAGTCTTGTGACATAGTTTTGTTTCCATTTATAAATTCTCTCTTGAATTTATTTTCTTCAAGAAGCATTTTTCATTTTATATATATTTTTTGTGAGACTGTTAAAGTACCAATCAAACTTAATTTCAGTGAATGTCAGCTGCAAAATATACAAAAACACGTAGGTGGGCAAAATGAAAACTAACAACTGGTATGAAAATAGTCCCTACAATACTTTTAAGTTGAATGGTCTAGGGAATAAATTATTACTGTTGCCTGCCCTAGCCATCACAAATGGACTCACTTCGGGATTGGAGTTACAATTATGCTTGTAGCCAATGACACGTCTCGCCACCCAGACAAGTTGTTTGATTTCAGTTAGCCTTTTCCTTCTCTTTTACTATTTGTTTTTATTCTTGCTCTTGAGTGATTATACTTCAGGCAGTTGGTTAGATGTGGATGATTTCCTTGATTCCCCAAACCCCTTCACCTCACTGCCTTTTACAATAAGTGCTGACGTGTGCAGAGTATGTTTACATAGCCAATACACTGGACAGCCATCTAGATTGTTGTCTTTAGTGATTAGATCAGGATTTCTGTAGACATTCGTTTAATCTATGTGTCCTATAAGGGCTACAGGGTTTAATTGTATTAATGATGTTTCCATGGTGATCAAACGTTACTTGGATTCCATCTGCCTTTTGTGGCTAAATATTAACTCCTGCTAGTTGTAGAGTTAAGTGTGCCCAGGCATGTTTGGACACCTCTGGCTTAAACACAGCACAGTTGCATTTGCTTCATTAACTAAAATGTTTAAGGAATGTGTTGATGCAAAACTGACCTAGAAACGTCCCTCTGGAAGTTCCCTGGTGAAAGGGGCCAGCCCTGCATTAGATAAGGGAGTTGGCAGTGCAGGCCTGCACGTCGAATGGTCAAAGCTGACTAGGAATTGGGGCAGGAAGGAATGAGGCTTAGCCAGGCGAGAGCTGGCCAAAGAGCACGTCTCCCTATTGGCCTTCTGGGAAAAGGCAGGCCTGCTCTGACTGAGGACAAGGAGTGTCCAACAGATAAGAACATCCATACACCATCTGTCCACACTGATGAGAAGTGACATGATTTTGTACTTTTAGTTTAAATGTAATCCTTAGCAGTGGCTCGACTTAATGGGTTCAGTAGTCGCCTTGGGAAAGTCTCTCACCACAGGCCTTTTACACTTTGCATGAGCACTAAATGTAAAGTAAAGAGAAATCACTGCGATGGGAGGTACATAAAGTTTGTTTACTTGCATTACATCATTTTTAATAGTTGTGTCCTGTGTTGCAAAAATTAAAACGCCTTATTTCACTTCAGTGCTTCATGAAAAATTTGAACATGTCTGAAATATGCCAGGACAAGACTAGTTTGGAACTCTGGCTAAAATTAGTATAAAACCTGCTGCTAGTTTGCCTTTGGGGACTCCCTGGTTGCGACTGGAAATTCGTGACAAATCCAGACGAGTTGACAGGTGGCTGCTACAAATATTGGACGGTCTTTGCAAGAAAGAAGAACTTGAAAAATTGAGAATCACTTTGGTCCATATGGCTCTTGGATTGCTGGACTGACCCTGTAATTCAGATGCTAGGATGAGGCACCCAGAACCATTGCCAGAACTTTCATCTATCTAACCGTAATGTTTGTGTCTTTATTTTGAGCAACCAAGTGCTGCTCCGTGAGTTTTTGTCTTTTTTTTTGTATTTGAATCTGTGTGGGTGTGCAGACTAGGTGGATTCAGGCTGCTACCCAAGCCGCGGGTTAGCCTGTGGCTGTGGCTGCCCTTGGACTGCTCTGTAACATTTGAAACATGCTCCCTTAAGAGTGCAGCCTTAGCCACGCAGCAGGTATTGGTGTTCATCAGCAGTGGAGAAGGTCTTGCTTGCTTATTTACTTACTTACACACTGACAGACAGACAGACAGACAGACAGACAGACAGACAGACTTTATCGAAGCACCTGTCTCAAGATGACGTGTCGCCACCTGTGTCCCCATGATGTGGGCACAGCATCTTGAAAACCGACTCACTGCCTACATTACTTTGGAGACTCCCAGTGACCCAGTCTACTGTTCTTCACTCAGGTGGCAACTACAGAATAGGACATTGGGGCCTTAAAGACATTTTTTGTGTCTATATGAAAACCATTGTCTTTTGAACCAAAAGTGCATGATGGTACCATTCCTCACATTAACTGGTAGCATATAGCATGTCCATAAGGTGGAGATTAGAAGCTACGTTACTTTAACGTTAGCTTAGGGCTGGACAATAATTCGATATCAATAAATATCGCGATATAATTTTTTTCAATAACGGTGATACGATTTTTAAACACATTTCCGATATTTCGATATACATATATACTGTATCATATAATATACAGTATATGAATAATCAGCCTGTTTTAGTTTAAATGGAAATATATTATTGTTAATAAGCTGAGTCTGAGAGTTTTTAATATTGTCCATATCGATATCGGAATTATATCGTATCGACCAAAATTAAGAAATATATCGTGATATAAATTGTTGCCATATCGTCCAGTCCTACGTTAGCTGTTTGGAGGAGGAGCTAGGTGAGAGGGACGCTGCAGTGTTTTGAATACTTTGAACTCTGGCTTGTGTCTTGTATTCAAACTGGATCTGAGAGTGATTAGTAAGGTACCTCTCACCGGTGTGATCATAACAACCAGACTGCGTGGGGCCTACCGTTTCACAGGCTGTGCTAATGCTAACACTGCGCTGACTGTTACAGAAAGCTATTGTTAGAAGTTGGTCTTAAAAGGCAGCAGCAGGTGATTTGTCTCTGTCTCGGACAGTAAAAGAAAAAGCAACATCCCGGTCTGTGTGCCTGCTTGCAATAACACAGTAAAGCATGCAGAAATCCATGTAGCAGCCACACTTTCTGTCTTAGGGGTCTTTTTTTGGTCTTTAATGGAAGACTGATTTGTATGTGTAAGATCATCAGTGGCCATACATTTAGATGAGATGATGTTCAGTACTAATACAGCAGGGAATCCATAAGATTATGTTTACAGCCGTTCTGATGAGAAGTGGTCTGACAAGCATTTCATGGGTGCAAATAGTGTCACCATTAAAATAACATAAAGTGGGAGCAGTTTGAACTCTCTCAAGAGGAAAGCAGAAACATGTTACTTTATAGCTGTTAAATCTTGGCATCTGTCATTGCAGGATATTGGTCAGTTGTTTCATGGCCTGTAGCTGATTTATATTTGTCTAAGTCAGAGAAACTTCAGATTTATAAGATTTATATTTTAAGAAAACATGCATTGATAACAAAATTTTTTCTTTTGTTGTTAGATCCACATTGTACATGACTTCTCACTCACAACTTATTGTTATGAAATAAGGCATTTAGATAAGATTGATAGTTCCAGTTTGTTATTTGAGTCATGCAGTATGATTTAAACTCGCAGCCTAGAAGACGGACATGGATCTCTAACCTTCTGAGTGACTCATTGGTCCCTGTCTTTGCGATATCTTTGTATGCTATTCACAGCCTAGAAGACGGGCATAGACCCCTGACCTCCTGAGTGACACACTGCCCCTGGACTTTACAGTATCTTTGTACGCTATTCACAGCCTAGAAGACGGGCATAGACCCCTGACCTCCTGAGTGACACACTGCCCCTGGACTTTACAGTATCTTTGTACGCTATTCACAGCCTAGAAGACGGGCATAGACCCCTGACCTCCTGAGTGACACACTGCCCCTGGACTTTGCAAAACCTTTGAACACTATTTTCTTGTTACTGAGGAATTTGTGCAGTGATTCATTTGTATGTTTTCCTCTATGCAGTTAATCTTCTATGTTAATAAAAAACTTTCCCAAGTATGCTGGCTTTGGTTTGTGCATGTCCCTCGACAGTTTCCTTCACAAGGTGGAGACTGAAACTGCATTTTGGCTTCCCTTTTGGGCCCTTTTCTTCACGTTTATGTGGGGAGAGGAAGGCCTTGGCTGCTTGCTTCCCAGTCCACTTTGTGCATCCAGCATACAGACTGACACACAAAGAACATTTCATCCTTAAACACACATTTATATAATGTGCATGTTGGCTCATTTCCAAGTTCAACCAGTCAAAATAGAGTGGGTGCAAGCAGGAGTGTCTGTCAGGTCCTAGTGCCCTCAGTCCCCTAAGCAAGTTGCACTTCTTGTTTTTCCAGTTTCGGCACAGGGCTGTCACAGTTGGAAAAGAGGGATCTGTATATGTGCTGCTGTCAGAGAAGCTCCAGGGCCCCCATCTCTCATTATCCAGATCTAATGTTTAATGTGGCTGTTTCTTGCTTCTTCCTCATTTTGCTCAGTTGTTTGACTTGCATTTTCTCTCTTGCCTGCAGTCATTCCAAGGCAGCCAAGGCCGGGCCTACCTCTTTAACTCTGTGTAAGTATACCCAGTCAAATTTTGCCATTGGAACTATGGAAATGTTTTTCTTATTGTTGAAAATATATAAAATTTTGGTCCATTCTGCCGTACACTAGGCAGATTAAAAGCATGTGTCCTTTAAGGGGTATTATAATATAAGGATTATAATATAGGGTACCTTTGAGGTTTAATGGAGGCTCTTCTTCACCCGCACCTCTCCACCTCCCTGCCCTCTTGTTTACCCCTCTCCCCATAGCGTGAATGTGGGCTGTGGTCCAGCGGAAGAGCGAGTGCTTCTCACCGGCCTGCATGCTGTAGCAGATATCTACTGTGAAAACTGCAAGACCACTTTAGGCTGGAAATACGTAAGTAAAGCTCGCTTGCTATCTCCCGCTAACCTCCAGAGTGAAGGGAGAGCTTACCCGACTGCCTGTCTGCTGTTTATGGCTGCTCTTAGTGCAGCTTAATGTTCAAGAACAAGTTAATGTGCATGACAGCCAAAATATTTGGGCAAGCTTCCTGAAGCATAGACAGTATTCTTTGTTTCTGATGTGTGAGTTTGAAAAGGGGTTGTCATGTGACCATCTGTGCTCTGATTGGCTTGACCTCGCAGGAGCACGCCTTTGAGAGCAGCCAGAAATACAAAGAAGGCAAGTTCATCATCGAACTGGCGCACATGATCAAGGACAACGGATGGGAGTAGCCCCCTGAGCTGTGGCTTTTCAGTGACCTTTCACCCCTTTGTCCGGGACTCCGCACCGGCAGCTCTGGCAGGGGGGAAGCTCCCTGGCTCATCGTGAAAATTAACAACAGAATTAAGATAACAAACCTGATAAAACAGACAAGCAGACTCTTGTTACGTTTCACTCTTGATTCTGACTGGGCCCTTTCTTGATCCCTTCCTGTTACAGGTGTCCTCTATTACGTGTGAACCACTATTTAAGAGGAAATAATTATTATCCAGCCGACACTTCCTTTTTTTAATGGTGGGGGGGAGTGAAGTGGGTGGGTTGATCGTGTTTCTTTAATCAAAGATTTTCACCCGATGGCAGACTGATGTTACTGGTTAGCATTCGTTCTTCTTCTCTGACTCTTGTCTGTCCGTCAAGCTGTTGCTGTGCATGCTTTACTTGCAGTGTAAGTAAAAACATGGAATCCAGGGCGGGGTGGGGCAGGGGGTGGGGGGGCGGGCAGGGTCTGCACTCCTTAATAAGGTTTGGGGGGGGGGGATGTTATGTAGCAGAGTCTTGTGCTGTTTTTAAGATATAGGGGTGGGGTTGCAGCAACGTGAGATTTTGTATTTCTGAATACCCCCCCGCCCCCCTTCCCTGTTTCATCCATTTTACTGTGTACCTTTTTAATCGTTTCTCTTCTGCCATGGTGCAGGCTGTGGGGAGGCCTGGTACTCCACCTGTGGCATCTTGCGCCGCACTCCATGTATAACCTTGTTGTTTGGAATAGCATTTGTGGCTGGTCCCATTTTGCATCAGTAATAAGGAAAACAAATACAGAGTGCACTGGACAATGTGGGGGTGGGGGGGCACGGTGCCGGTGTGGTCATACAGTGAAATATGTTCTTCCCAGCCACTTGTATCGATCACATGATACATAAGACATTTATAGTATAGACATGATCATGTGTATGTATATAGATATGCATGTGTACACCTACAGTATGTATTTTCATTTGGACATGCAAACTGTGGATGTATATTTGCATAATAAGTAATAGCATACTTGAATGGAGTTACTTTGTTTGCACTTTGCTGAGGCCTTGAGTTCACGAGTGTTTAGAGGCAAAAAGTCTGTCCCATCTATCTTATACGGCCTTCTTTCCGACTCGCACCTGAAAGACCCGATCCTGCATCGGGATTTGAAATTTTGAGGGTTGGGTGGTTGCTGGAAAAACCACCGCTCTTGGAGTTTGCGTTCCTATAAGTTTCGAGAGCTTACGCTGTAGCGATCTAGCGCATGTGCCATTTCTCAGCCAAGTTGGTATGATACCTGTGAGACACTAGTTCATTATTTGGATCTAATCAGATGTACAATTAACCCTGTATGGAGAAAACTGTTGTTAATACTTTGCTGCTATTAGAAAATGCAATCCTAGGCTTTGACTTTATTCTTCTGCACTTTATGGCGGTCTGAAAGTGTTTTCCGTAGACACCTCCCCTGTCTTTGCCTCTAAGCAGCGTGAACCTCGTGCCTCTTCTAAAGATCCTGTCTCCTGTGTTGTGCAGTGCATAACCCGGTGTGAACCTGGGGCATTTTCTAATGTTCCTGGGCAGAGCTCCCTGACCCCCTTTCTCACCGAAACCTCAGCTTATCCACACATAGAGAGATTAAATCAACCCATATTTTTCATATTTTTATCAGCATTACTAAGAGTTGTTGCTATATGATGGTTATATTGCTTAGAGTGCATATATGGGGGATACATACACACGTATATATAAATATATAGATTAGCCTATAGGAAGGGGGAGGGGGCACTGGGAGATGTTAAATGAGATGAGCATTTAGTGACGTTGGCAGTGTTAAGGCAGTGGGTCCTTGAAAACATGGGAGTGCTGGGTGGACATTGCAGGTCAGTCTGGTCACATGACCTTTGAATCAGCCAGACCCCAGAAAAGACAAAGAAAATTAATTATTCAAATAATCTACTTGAAAAAAAACAGGTGGCGGGGGGGGGGGAAGAAATGAGATTTCCCTGTTACAGTTTTGTACATAAAATGACATATTTAAGGTTTTCTACATATTTCTACTGGGTTGGTTCCTTTACATCCCTGACTTGAAGCACTTTGGTTAATTGTACCTCTAGCTTTTTGTGTGTACTTTTTTTTGGCTTGTTTTTACCTTTTTTTTTGCAATCACACTTGGTGATTTCTCTCTTAACATCTGAATTCGCCACCTGCTCAGTTTTCAGAGCTTTCATCATTTTGTTCGCTCTTTTTGCTGTCAGTTTTGTTCTGTTCCGGGTAGCCATGCTGTGGGGCTGTCTTGTGCACTTGGTGCACCACGCAGACGTGGGGTGAGCTGGATTCTCACACACGTTTTGTTCAGTGGCCATTCGCTTCACAAGACAGTTCTGGTCAGACCGTTTGTCGAAATTAACTTTTCAGTAAACTTGCAGAGTTTTGAGGCCAGTATCATTTTAAACGATTCAAATAAACGCTGCGTACAAAGTAAACAGCTACATAAAAATAGGTGATTTTGATGTTCCCTTGTTGACACTATGACAATTTTTTTTTAACAGTTCTATCAAAATATATGATGATATTTAAGCTGAAAAAGCAGTTAATGTGTTATGAAGTGGTTTTGCACCTCTGAGGATAGTTGTGTTCAGAAGTACGCAAAAAGTTTCCTCACAACCTGCTTCTGAAACTCTGTATGCTATTTCAGTGACACTGGCCTCAAAGTTTTATAACTGTTAATGTGCAGTAGAAAGCGCTACTCATGCAACATCTATCTGTATGCAAGGGAAACGATTGTCGGAAAGGCTATTTTCATAGGACTGTTAAAAGACCAGGTCTAAAGCATGTTGTATTTATAATGGTTATATTGAGTTGTGCCTGATTTTCTTTTTTTTTCAAAGCAAAAAATATATGCGGTTTCTTTCTTTCGACTACATTGCTTTACATTTTGTCTTGGTAAAATAAAAATGTATGTCATATTTGTCAGTTTTTCACTGTATTGTATCTACAAGGTATCACAATAAACTTTCAGTGGAAAAATTCTTGATATGCTTAGATCATTGCCGTTTACACAGTGGAAGATGCATTATTTTACCCTATAAAACATGTGTGGGATATGGCCTCTGATTTTTAACTGATTTGCCAGTTGCATTTAAATGTAGATCAGAGTTGAAACTGGACATGATCTTTTGAAAGCATTTTGAGTTCACCTATATCCAGCCTATTTCCACAGAATACACCCATTACAGTAGTCACATCTGAATATTTTTTACCTAATTGGTAGCCTTAATTGCATAATCAGAATCCCTTTTCATCCATAACTTTTCCAGGAATTAAACCTGCAGTGCTAACTACTGCGCCTCTGAACTCCTTGTGGTCTGTTTGATGATCTGTATAAATAAGAAAGTACATGTGATCATTTCAGCTCTTAATACACCCAAATACTGTAATTTTCTTTCAACAATTTAAGATAAGCTATAAACAGACCATATAATTAACATATAATTAGACCAGTTAAGCCAGGGATGGGTTGGCACTCAACCAACATCAAAACAGCTCAGTGTGAAATGAGTCTGCGAGGCCTCTGTTACCAGCAGGCTGTCAGTACCGAAAATCTTAAGCATGTTGCTTTAATTGCCGTAATTGCAGAAGCTCCCTTTGATGTTAGTTTGCAGTGGTTGTTGTCACAGTCTGCAATTTTTGCTTGTCAATTAGTGATGATTTATAGTCTGAAATACCACAGAGCACAAATGACTTAATGTCCAGAAAACAACTATAGTCAAGATGAAAGGTACCTATAATATCAAGTCACCCTCAAGAACTAGACAAGCTGAGCAAGTCTAAGTTAAGATATTTGAAAATCAAGGCAAATTTATTTATAAAGCATATTTAAAGTGTAAAATATCCAAATACTAACATAAAAAGACTATCGGGTATATGCCAAAGAGAAAAGATGGGTTTCAAAGAGTGATTTGAAGATCTCCAGAGTAGGGGAGGACTCTACTCTGAAAGTGAAAGTTTAAACTAGTGGACAGACTGCGTTGTCGTGTCATGTGATAAGCTTATCTAACTAAATATCTTAACAGGATATGTAGGCAATCATCCATTTTCAGCAACAGCTTATCCAGTTACGCACGCATGCCCACTGCAAAGGTAAGTGTGAGTAACCAGTACAGCTGCACTGGCTTTCTTTGGAACTGTGAGTGGAAATCTTTGATGCCAGAAGCAAACCTGGGAATGGAGAGTCTGCTACCATCCAGGGGCAAACCTGCAAAAGGAAGGCCTTTCTGTGCATCATTCCAAAAGGCCATGTGAAGGGTACAGGAAAGCTGGCTGTCCTCACTCTGACAGAACACCTCTAGGACGAACTGGAGTACAGAATTAGTGCAGGGAGGAAATGAACCCCATAAATACAATGGATTACAAAGGGTTTCAAAGAAGAGTTGGGCACAATGTGTTAGCATCACATCTTCCATGATGTCACAATGACTAAATGGCGACCACTGTGCTCTGAATTCCTGAGCACATAAAGGCTTGTTTTTTCCTCCCATTATTAAGTAACTTTAATGACATATCGTAACAGGTTAATGGTCTGTGAGACTGAGATTCTAACAGTCTAATGTAAATGTCCATTGCAGAGCAACAGTGCCAGTCAACACATTACTTGGCATAAGTGGCTGACTAGGCTAGCAGTGAAGTTTGCCCAGGGTGCCACGTAGGCTTTGACCTGTACTGCAGAGGGAAAAGGGTCCTAGACTGTGGGGGGAATTATATCCTAAATATAAGCATTTTGGAGTCCAGAACTGAATTCATCTCAGTTGAGTCATATTCACCCATAGCAGGCTGATGTGGCTGAGTAAGTCATCCATACTGCCACTACCAGAGGAAACGTGAGATCGACAACAACAGGATGTAATGCAAACCAACCTCCAAACAGCATAGCGCAGAATGTAAGGGCACATATCGCTCAATTCTCAAAGAAGTTCTGTATAAATACCTTGATTATCACCATGTACGTTTTGGAAGTACAGCTCTGGTACCTTGCCCATGACACTCATGAACATCAGGGCCTATAAGGTGGACAGCCTCTTCATGCCCATCTGTCAGAGCTCTGCTGGCATAGGCTGATGTACCCAGCAGTGAGTCATGCCAAGCTGTGATACAGTGCATTCTTTGTTTTACCTTTCTTTCACCATTGTATTCCCCCTTTCTCTGACCTCCACAGGACGTGCCAGGGGTCCTCTGAGACAGGCAAAGGTAGTGATGCCATCATTGCAGAAAACCCCAGCTCCCTATTGTCTCCCTCAACTGCTGCTGTTCACAGGAAAAAAAGCCCAGAATAATGGAGAATTCTCCATTGTTGGTGCTGCCTGCAGACTCTATAAGCAGAGTATGGAATGCTGGCGCCAGGCCCTGCTGTCACACTCTGAATCCTCTTCCTGCTTCAACAATGAAAGGAGCTGCAGACATGT